AAACAGACAATCTGGATAATCAGATTTAAACACAGGTTCTATCACACAACTTTAGCACTTGTATGTTAAATTTAATGCAAAAGCTCCTAATTAGCCACAGTTTTTACCATGTACTGTCATTCCTTTCAGAAGAAGGTGTCCCAGCAGAAATGAGACTGACACTGTCCTGTGACCAACTACGCAATTAGAGCTAGACCCCAGCTTTGAAGCAACAGATTGAGTGTCACTATCATCCCCTCCTAACAGGCTCATCTGCATGTAAACCCAAGGGAATGTGGAGTCAAGTCAATTTAAGGAGTAACTAGAGTTTACATAATGGGAAGATGTATTCTATGCCCCCTTCACCTTTGCGCTGTTAGAAGAAATATGCTTGCATTATAAATGACTAGGTAATTTGGTCAAAGTGTAGCTCCCAACTAAATAGAGGACTATTCTTTCCCACTTCTCAGAGGTCCTGTCTGTACCTGACTGAAGCCTACAAGTTGCAGGTTTTCTTGTTTTGGTTTTCAGTGACACAAAGTACACCTACCTTACAGTCAGAGACCATGAACACAACATAAGCCCATTCAAGGTATACAGAGTACCTGCAGCAACGAAACAGCAGCTGTCTGGGCTTAGTATTGGCTGCAGAAGTCCAAAGCTCACCTTAAAATGGGCTTCAGCACGGGCTACTCATTTTGTCCGCTCTACTGTCACTCAAATACAAGCTGATAAGAAGAAACTCTCAGGTATACCCATGTGTACTACAACTGCACTCAAAAGTCCCAAAGATATATCCTAAGGGAATCTTCATGTTCAAAATCTTTGGTTTTCTCCCCCAAACTCAGAGCCTTCAAGCAAAGTTACATGACATTTCCTCAGAAGTACTTCCTCAGTCAATCACCACAGACAACAAGAACACACTCACAGATGTACTGAAACCTTCAGGTGGCTTTCTCATTTTCAACACTGGAACTAACATTACCAGAAACCTCAACAGATTATACTTTAGGCTTTTAAAAGCTGAACTTTTTTCCTCTTTTCAGATTGAAATCCCCCAAAGAAGCTGGTGCAAGAACCACTCTTGTGCTTGTAGATTATTTTCTTATGCAGCTGAACCAGGTTTTTTCAAGCAGCATGACATTCTTGTACTTGAAACAAAATAACATTTAGACAAGGAACATCAGAGCCATGATTCATCAGGTATCTAAGACCTTTAACTGTTATCAAAGGAAGTAGCAAGGCCAACCTATCTGTTTTGGAAGGTATCAAAAGATTTCTTCAGCTGTAGTTGGAATGCATCAAAATGCTCATTTAACATGATCAGACATCTCACAGATTTGAAACTAAAGGTACAGAAAGTTTTCCAAGCTTCCCTGAAAACCCAAGAGTCATCTTAAAATTCATGCTGCAGCAGCTAGCCCTGTCCTATCCACTTTTCTTTTCCAGGTGGGTGTGCTAAAGTTACGAAGCCTGTGTACTCATACCAGAACATTAACACTACTGCTTTTCACTTCAGTCATCAAAAAGTTTCAGAAAGTGACTTTGAAACTTAGCCCCGATTAACAAGCAAAACCCTAGTTAACCGATGACTATTTACCTTAAACCAAAGCAAAACTAATGTATTTGAAGACCATCCCACAAATACCAGAAAAAGCTAGCAAGGCCCTGAACCATCACCTGTACTAAATGGAAAAGTAAATTCTGTATCACAGATTTATTTCGTTTCAGCATTTTGTTTTTAACTAGGGTTTCCCCAAAGTGGGAGACGAGAAATAGCAAGAACAGGGTGAGGAGAGAACTCAGCACTGGAAAGATATCAGAAAAGCAAGAAGCTGAAAACTCTGGATAAAATGGAAGCAGACACTAATGTCAATGAATACTTGAGCAATGTTATTTTAAAAGGTTTGATTGTTCTCTGAATCAGTTTCCTCTTTCTCCATAAGCTGTATAGACTGACTAAATACTACTGCAATAAGCACTTCAGAAATATCAAGCACTATTGAGAGAGTAGGAAACCTCCTCCTTCAGTGAGAAGTTTAGTCATGGCTGGAAAATGAAAATTGACCATTTAATCCCAGAGATTTACACTGCATTTCTAACTCAGATCTCAGTGTTGCAGAAGCTTAACAGAACCATTGTTTGACCATGCTGAGAACTGTGTGGAAAAAGGGGCCAAGGTTGCTGCAGCTGTACTTAACATCAAACAGATTCATATGCTATTTGATAGGATCATTCTCACACAGTCCACACATCATAAGAATTCATGTTATATATTTTCTGGTAAGCCAGACACATGATGATCTCCGTTCCATTTAGTCTTAATGAGTGATGATTCTAGTCTGAACTTCCTGAAAAAGTGAAAAGAATAAGTAATCTAAACACTATTATAGAAAGAATAGCAATCAGATTCACTTGACAATTTACATCAAAGAAGCAGAACAAGTTTACTTGAAACATTTTATGGTTATCCACAGAAAAAAGTTGAACACAAGAAAGTATTACTCAATTACCCTAAAATAAATGCATTGACAACACCGCTATGTTTTGAAAGCCATATAATTCTGTTGTGGTATTTGATTTCTCCCTGATGATTACGGCAGAATATCCAGGTGTTAGGAGGTTTTTTTTTCAGATGAGCACAAAGCAAACAGAATATCTAATGCCTTCTTCCCACCCTCCAGTCTCAGACCTCCTTCCCACCAGAAAACTCATTTACTTCCCTTTGTTTGTACTCTCTTATGCCTGCTCTTTCCATAGCGACCACCCCCAAGGCATTCCCCAAAACCTATGGGTGAAGAGTAAATTGTATTCTTATATTCAAGAGCCACTTCTGCCATCTGGAGAAACAGAGAAGGCAGAGGGTAAGAGATACTGCCCTAGCTAAAAGGACAGCCTAACTTAATGCTCCCAAATCACAGCCTGCAAGGCCAAAAGCACAACCTGTTGAAGCATATTAACTCATACAAAAACACTTACAAATTCTAGTTTGATGATTAGGAGGCTTAAAAAGATGTTCAGCTGACAAGAGTCCAAGAAGTGTTGGTAACTACCAGTCTTGAAATCAAACTAGCACGCTACCTTGAGGACCTGGATTCTACCCTAAGGTCTGCAACTGCTCAAAGCCATCCAGCAGACAAGTGTTTCAAGTGCATAACTCAGCCTGCCCTACTACAAGATGGAGACACTTTTCTTTCAAAGCACACCAAGCTTTACTGCTGAAAGCTCTAGACTTTCTGCATACATAAAATATTAAATTCTACCAGAACTAGTATTGCTTAGACAACTCAAAGAGAAAGAAGTCTCAGATTTTTCCTGTTTTCACAAAGTGCTTCCTTAAAAGCCTCTGCTACTACTTTAAACCAGTAGCAGTAACAAATAAATCCCTGGCAGTACCAAAATACACATTAAGACCTCTAAAATCCAACTCTTCTAGGTGTATAGAAGAGAAAGCCTCCTAACACTCCCCTTGCTCACATAACTACAAATAAAGAGAAGCTGCCGAGCTTCAACTTTCTTGCAGTTAATGGGCTCCTGTAATCCTGAAAATGGATGAAAAAGAATGAAAGGAAAATTAGCCAACAATTTTCCTGCTCACTAACAGAAGCAAAAGCCCTCCATAGAATAGCAACATTCTCTAAAAACAAGAGTCACTGTATGCATGCACTTATTAAGTACATATAAAGCTTCTATTTAGAAACAAATCTGAAAATTTAGAAGTAACTCTTGTGATTCTTCACTTGCACGATTCCCTTTCCTTTAATTTGCTCCAAATCTCAGTCTTACAAATCCACGCCCACCTAAGAATAAAGACAGTCTTACAGAAAAATACAGGCAGAAAAGGAGCAGTTCTTTTGGAGAAAAAAATATGAAGAGAGATATATTCTTCAGTGAGATTTTTTCAGCACAGGGCATCAAACCTTGTTTCCCAGAAATAAACAGTAAATGTCAAGGCTCATTTTCTTAGCTGTCTGTAGACTAAAGGCTCTACCTGTAGCCTTCATATTCTCCAATCACTAGACAAATACATTACAGCACTATAAAGCCTGCACACACATTGAACAAAATCTTCTTTTCTAAGGTACCAAAACAAAGTTATTTTCATTGCAGCACAATGCTTGGTAACATCCCACACTCCCAAGGGCCTATGCTTCTCCATTTCATAGAATGGTTAGAGGTGGAAGAGACATTAAAGCTCACCCAGTTCCAACCTCCTGCCATGGGCAGGGCCACTTTCCACTATACCAGGTTGCTCCAAGCCCTGTCCAACCTGGCCTTGAAGGCTGCCAGGGATGGGGCAGCCACAGCTCCTATGGGCATCCTGTGCCAGTGCCTCAGCACCCTTACAAGGAAGAACTTCTTCCTAGTATCTAATACAAATCCACCCTCTTTCAGTTTAAAGCCATTTCTAAAGATGTACTGAGTAACAATCACTCACAGCTACAACATCTCCATAAAGACCTGCTTCTTGTCCCATCTCGAGGTACACAGACTCAGAGCACTCCGCAGAGACATGAGAAATCCTCATCATTTCTTCAAATTTTGAAGTTTCATCAGTTCTGACTTCGAGGATGCTCTCATAATGTTTTTTCCAGAGAGCAGGCCACACCTATATCCTCTTTCCTCTACGTTTCCACAAAGCTTTTCTCAATCCCTTTTGCAGGGAAGTTTCCTTTGAGCCTTTGCACAAACGAGGCCTTCTGACGGATAAAACCCTCAGTCTCGCCCCCCGCAGCCCGCCAAGCCATCGCACAAAAGGTACACGCCTTCAAAACACCTGCACCGCAGAAACCCCCTGCCCGGAGAGCGGGTGCACCCGAGAGAGGCGGCGGAGCAGCCCGGAGGAGCGGCCGCCGTCGCCCCGACCGAGCTCTCATCCTTTTCCGACATTGATTCTGGGCACGGCCCAAACCCCCAAAAGCTGCGAGATGTATCGGCGCCGGCCTCCATCCCCGACCGCCCCGGCCGAAAGCGGCTGGAGCCATCGCTCCCCCCGACCAGGGCCCTCTCCCGCCCCTCACCTTGAGGATGTTCTCGTAGATGGTGGCCCGGAACTCCAGCAGCGCCTTCTGGTCGAACTCGCGGCCGTGGATGATCCGCATCTGCTTGAGGAAGGTGGACTTGCCGCTCTCGCCGGCGCCCAGCAGCAGAATCTTGACGAGGCGGCGGACGGCCCGCCTCTCCCGGGCCAGCATCGCGTCGATCTCCCTGCTCCGCCGCCGCGCCTCCCGCTCTGCATCGCGGCTACGCTCCTTGCCCTCCCGCCGCGGCTGCTCCCCGGCTCGGCCCGTGGCCTCGGCCGGCAGCAGGCAGCGGCTCAGGGTGCGCACCACGCCGGACATGGCGGCTGCGGGACGGCAGGAGCGCTCACAACGCCGCGGAGACCCCAGCCAGCTCCGCCAGCATCGGGCGGAGGCCACCGAGACGCTGGGACCCTGGAGGCGGAGCAGCCGCCGCAGCCGGGGGCTAAGGGCCGGGACCGCCCATTCCCCCTCTCCCGGCTCGGCTGGCGACGCTGCACAGGGAGTGGAGGCAGGCGCGGCCCCGGGAGGCCGGCCGGCCGGGGGGAGGGGTGGCGGCTGCGGGGCGCGGCCCGCAGGCCCTGCCCGGGGAGGGGGCACCGCCGGTCCGCTCGAGGGGTCGGTGAGCGGCGGAAAGACCCCTCCGAGCCCCTCGGCCCGGGTTCAGCCAGCGGCCGCCTCCGGTGCCGCTGAGGCGCGGCGGGGCGGAGGGACGCGCAGCCCGCAGCCCCCTCAGTCAGGGAGCGCCGCCGCTGCCACCGGAGGGAGGTGCCCGCTCGGCCGTCCCGCCCCGCTAAGGCTGCGTCTCATTGGATTACAAGAGTGTCAATCAACGGCTCCTGCTTCCGATTGGAGAAGCCGCCATGTGGGGCGGGAGCAAGCGAGCAGCAGGCTCAAGGCGAGGCAGGGCGAGCAGCGCCGGGAGGGCCGGCGCAGGGCTGTCCGGCAGGGGGCGGGGCCTCGCTGTGGGAGAAGGCGGGCCGGCCGAGCGGGTCGTGACGGAAAGGCCGTTGGCTTGAGGCGGGCCCTGAGGGGAAGGGGCCCGGCCTGTAACGGGCGGAGCCGCGGTAACGGGGAGTGGTGTTAACGTGCTGGGTGACAGCGGACCAGCGGCGGTTAGCGCACACCTGAGTGATGCAGTTGTGAAAGTCATGCAGTGACTATACGAGGATCTCTCTGCAGGCTGCAGCCTGAGGCTCAGCTGCCCCCGGAGCAGCTCCCGGTGAGGTGCTAGTGCCGCTGACACACACAGAACACACCGCAGCTCGTACTGGGTTTTGTCGGCGGATAAGCTCTGCTCTGAAGACAGAGAGAGCTGGGTTTGTTCAGCCTGCAGAAGGCTCCAGGGAGACCTCAGCGCAGCTCCTAGTGCCTAAAGGGGGCTACAAGAAACCTGGAGAGGGACTTTGGACAAGGGCCTGTAGGGACAGGACAAGGGGGAATGGCTTTAACCTGACAGAGAAGGGTCGTTTAGATGAGATATTAGGAAGAAATTCTTTACTATGAGAGTGTACTTTACTATGAGGGGAGCACTGGCACAGGCTGCCCAGAGAAGCTGTGGCTGCCCTATCCCCAGCAGTGTTCAAGGCCAGGCTGGATGGGGCTTGGAGCAACCTGCTCTAGTAGAAGGTGACCCTGCCCATGGAACTGGATGAGCTTTAAGGACCCTTCCAACCCAAACTACTCTGTGATTCTGTGAGAAATTTCATTTCTTGATTGATGTCAGGTGTAATTCCTTGTACAGCATATTGAAGCAATCGAGTGCTGGGCTGATGATGAGGCAGGGATTAAAGTATCAAAGTACGCACCTGGAAGAAAATCCCCTTGCTCTACTGATTAGGTACTGGAGGAGGAAAAAGAAAGCGTTTTCAGAAGCAGCTGGTATGTGATGGCCTGGCAGTGGCTGGGATCCCACACCTTCTGGCTGCAAAATGCAGTCCTTAAAGACAGGCAGGTCCTCTGTTCTATGAGATTATTTTGTCCTTTCTGCATTACTTCCTTTGCCTGTTCTTCCAATTATTTACGCCATAACCATCTAATCCTGTTTAAGATTTGGGTAAATTTTTCCATCCCAGGACTGTATCAAATAGTGGGGCAAGTGAAACAAATAGAGAGAGCTGAAGGAAACTTGTCAAATCAGAGGGATTTCATACAAAGTTAAAGATGTTACAAAGCTTTAAGATGTCCCAAGAGACTGGGAAGTCACAGATCTGGAACAAACCCAAAAGCAGTTAAACAAAACCTTTGTGAAAATCTGAAAACAGCATCACACTGGGATGCTGTTGTCAACACTTTCCCAAGCGAGTCCTTTTCTCCTTAGCAAGGATAGACACCTAAAAACACCTTCAGGTACTGCAGAAGTCAGGAGGAGAACAGCACAAGACCCTTGGTCATGAGCCATTCACTACAGCACAGAACCCTTCCTGAGAAAGTTTTCAGGATCTTATCCTTCGACTGTAGTTTGAGACCTGGCAGCAGCTCGCCCCACGTATAAAATAGCGTTGTAATTCACGACTTTTCCCACTGGATGTCATCATTGCCCCACAAGAAGCCAGTCAGCGCGATGAAGACAAATCAACCCCAAGCCCCCCATGCTCTGAAGGCCTGATTTTCACAACAGCTGAGCGCTCAAGACTCCCGCTACAGTCCGCAGATGCCAAACTGCCTGGAAATCAGCCCCTGTGTAACTGTGAAGTGCCCAGACTGGCATTTGCTGATTAGCTCAGTTGCTCATGCCCCACTAGCTTTGTCTGTGCCCTACTTCAGGTCCTCTTCAGACTTCTGAGGTTCTTACGGCTTTTGGCAGAGAATTCACAGTGCAATCCAGCTCCTGCAATAGGCCTGCTTCATCTGTGAGGGTGAAATTAAGGTATACAATAAACTAATCAAACAAACCAGTTGCCAGACATCCTTAGTCCTCTATGCAGTCGTCATCCATGAAAGCAGCTTTCAACAGCTTGCATCAAATTGTCAAAAGGAAAAGGTCCTCCCTTCCCTCTTTTCCCTGCAGCACTGTGGTTCCTCATTTTGTTTGCTGCTGTGGATCTGCAGCCAGATGGCTTCTGCTGCTCTGCTGAGGGACATGGGAGAACCTCACAAATGGTTGTGGTGATCCCTGTTGATGTTTCTGCAGATGGTCTGAGTGTAAGCAATTGGTGTAAGCACCCCAGTAAAAGCTTGGCTTCTACTCAGTCCCAATGCCTTCCCTTTCTCCTTTTCCTTATCATCTGCCCAGTTCTGTTCTTCAAGATTTCTAGTTCATCTCTCTTCTTTGGGCTTAGACTGCAATTAAAACAATTTATATTGATACAAAACAACGCTGACTTCATTTTTTCTCTTCCTTGTCTTACTTTCTCAGGTTTCCAGCTTTACTTTTTTCTGGTTTTACTCTGTTTTGTTTTTTCCCCATCTATGTTTCTTCCTATAACTCTTCTTTCTGCTGAGATGAAGAAATACTTGTACAGTTGCTTCTATTTCTCCTGCCTTCATCTTCCATAAATAGAGAGGGAGGGAGGGACTAAAAGATGGAAGAAAACAGAGGATTGGAGCACAGAAAGACAGAGGCAATGCGGGCAACATTATTTCCATCTCCCTTGTTGCCTACAGAGCAACTGAATTATGAGCAGAAAGACAGGGAGCTCTTCAGGGAAAGGCTGGAGCATGAACTTCTCAGGCCCTAGCCCTGAAAACAGACGGCAGAAGATTAAAGCTGAAAAGCTGAATGGCAGCTGGTAAAGCTGGTGGTACATGAAGACCTCATTGCAGATGGGAATGACATCTGGGCAGCTCTGGTAAATGAAGAGGTAGTTATGGAAAAACACTGATACTGAGCTTCAGCCAGTAACTCCCATTTTCTGCTTACAGAAAGGTGAGAAGAGGATGTGGCCTCACTGATGAATGCTGGCCACAGGAGTATGTGAAATGAGAGTTGAGCTGCCTGACCTTGGTCCTTTCTATCCGTTATAAGCTCCACTTGTTTCTACCCGGGTCAAGCATAGAGAAGATATATGGATATATGGATTTAGTCTTTGAAAGGATGCAGAGTGATCATTTCAGTGCCTCAAAGCTCGTAGTTGGCTAATCCCAAAATCTTCCCAAGTGCCCACCTGGATGATGGCCCATTTATTACCCAGTCCACTGAGACCCAGAGCTTAAAAGACTGTGTTCTGTCCTCTGAAAGCATATTATCAACACCATCAGCGAAGGCACCATGTGGAGGAAGTGCAGCTGAGAATGCAAGTAATGAATGCTGTATTACAAAGCTGAATGTTTGCCCACACCTGGGACATGGCTTTTGTTTTCCTGTGTGCCACCAGACACTGTCACTGCCAGGAAGAATATTTTGCTCAGTGAAACTGGGAAGCAAATAAATAACAAGAAGGATATGCTCACCACCTTGCAGTACAGAACCACGTAGCAATATCAGAGCACTAATGTAATTTAAACTTCAGCATTCAGACAAGAACCCGGCAGTCTTAAGACAACAGCAAGAAGTATGCACTGATGGAATCACCTGAGTTGATATATCACCCACCTTGTCCTTTCTGACCACTGTGCTAGGTGAGCAAACAGAGTCAAAATATTAAACTGCTGTTACTGCAGGGCAGACGCACTCCTGGCTTAGGCTGACTTAAAGATGTTGGGGCCCTTGAATTGCTCGTTATGCATTCAGCTAGCAAAGCTTGTAGATCTGAAGAACATTTATGATCTAAACTTGTGCTGCTTCTCTGTTGTTGAGACTCTGACTCCCTTTGCCTCAGGAGGTGCTGGAGTTTATAGGCACTTCAAGCCCTTACCTAAGCCGGTAGTTTTGTCATGTTAAAAGTGCCATGTTCTGCTTATTGCATTCTCAGAGGTTTTATATGGCTTTTTCTATTACCTTCTCTCTGCACACTCCCCATAGCAGAATGAAAATGTGGAGAGAGACAGATGAATAATGTTCTCCTGTGGAGGAATGAAACAAAAATAGTTCAAATAAATAGATCAACTATTTCCTAGTAACATAATTAAGCATACGGGAACCTTCTAGTACTAATATATTAGTTTTTTGCTGGAGGTACTGAGACCTTGGCTAGATGTTTTCTGCAAGACTTTATGATCTGTATTGTAATATGCTCTTTCTCAGAGATTCAAATTTTTTGAAAGGATTGTAGTCTCAACTCCCATGAAGCCAAAGAGCACTGAAGTATTTAGGCGTCCCTCAAGCAAAAATCCACTTACTAGTGAATTTGTACCTCAGTGTATGCTTTGTGCTTTTAAATATTGCTTTACTATACAGTTGTTTGGAATATGTGTCCTTTTTTTTATATCCAGATTTGCCTAAACTTGAGCTTCTATTGACATCAGGACATTAAAAACTATGTCCACATGAAGAACTAGAGAACCATGAGCAGCCTTTTAATGGTAAGACTGGAAGAGAAATGAATAACAGTGCTTTCAAATGATAATTGTTTGATTTTATTCCCCCACAGCCCAGGGAAGTGTTCTAGATCTCTGCCATAATGTACTTGTCTCAGAGTTAAAACCAGTGTTTCTTGGTTTTAGAGAAAGCCCCTGAGATGTCTGATGCTTCTATCCAGATGGAACTCCTAAGGAAGGACAGACAGTAGGATGGCAAGGAGTGCCCAGACTCTTCTACCTGCAAAACATGTGCACAGGTTGGTGATCGGTTGTATCAGGTGGACAAGTTGCAGGAAACAGTGAAAAGGCTGCATGGTATTAGGGCTGAGACACAGACAGATGGGTTTAGAACCACGCTCCTGTGGTGGACGCTATAGAGAATGAGGCACCTTAGACCCTGGTGACCCACAAAAGCAGAAGAAATCATACTCTATGTTAAGGAGAACCCTGAGTATATGAAAGTCAACTATGGCAACTGTGAAAACTCTATCGAATGCCTCTGGGTCAAGACCACAGAGGTCATCACCAAAGCATGCCTACTTCTTCTATTAAATTTATAGCCACTATGTCTTTCTTTTCCATGTGATATTTTCATCTTCTGTCCCACAGAGGATACATTACTCATATACATAAAATATGTGAGTTCTGACACTTCGTGGAGTTAATTTTCACTGTTTTCAGACTGCTTAACAGTAGCCTGTTCTCATTCATTACACACCAGCCAACGAGTGGATTAGTTTACTTTCAAAACACCAAAACCTCGTATTACTCCCCAAACAATTAATTACTGAGAGAAAACAAGCCTATTTTTAACACAGCCTGAAAGTAATTCAAGGCATGTCCTGCCAAGTGTTCTGCAGCTCTGTTCTTAGTGTGAAGTTCTTGTGACTATACTCAGGGACAGAGTACCTTGATTCAGAGAGTATAGAAAGGTCAGAAAGTGAGGTTCTGCTCAAAGGGCACAGAAACTGGGATCTGAATGGGACTATGTCTCAACAGCCTCTGCTTCCAAGTTCTAAATCTGAAGATGTATTCTTAGAGCACAAAGGGACAGAACAGGCACATGCTAGCTCAAATACATGTCTTTGGCATACACAAAAAGTCTGGCATCTCAGATACAACTTAAAACCCAATGTAAGTCCTGAAAGTGTTTGGACCTCTGATTTTGAGTACAAAGCCTCACAGCAGTAAGCAGCTTTTTCAATTCAGGTGCCTATTTTGGTTAGTCATCTATGTCATAAAAAGCCATTGGAAAACAAGATGAGTGAAATTAAGAGGGGAAAAAGAAAAAGGCACAAATCTATAAAGTGCTAAAGCAAAGCCAAAGAAAGTGGAGCTCCATGAGAACAGAACAGAACACGTTTGCTGCCAAGTTACGTCCATTTTTTTCTGCACTGTTTTTAAAATGACTTTTCATCTGGTGATGCAGAGCCAAATATCTCTACGGGTAACATGTAGCTCCCCAAACTCATAGGAAATTAGCAAGCCTTAACAAAATTTATGCATGGCTTGCTATTGCAGTTCCACATCTAAAGGGAAAACAGATGTTCTCTTTAGTTATTCTCTTCATGTCCAAACGAAAGCTGTTGGGTACAGAGGTTTTTTTCTTAAAAAAAAAAAAAGAAAAAGGCTGGTGCTGTAAAGGTTACAAATGATGCAATTTTTACAATCCTACTTCAAGGCTCTCTCCTACCTCGAATTGCTGAAGTGATGCTTGCAGATGCCTGTCACCCACTTACCAGCCTCATATTTCTTAACACCTACACTTTAGGATGAATAAATAAAACAGAGTCCAAAGTATTTGCTTGAGACCATTAATGGCCTGGCAAGTCAGGCTTCCAAGCCTTTGGCTGAATTCATTGTTAAGTTTCTCAGCCCAGGTTAGTTTCAAAAGTGAGGCAGAATGGATATCTCTGAAAAGCATGCTATTAGCCGTGTCACTAAATGGGTCTCTCAAGGCTTCAGCATGAGGAAGGAAAACAGTGATTCTTCACCTCCTTCACCTGCTTCCCTTAGCTTTGCACATGCACATTCTGCCCACATAATTTTCCACCACACATTGCAGATGGGCAATCTTTTCTCTTTCTGTTTTTACACAAACATTTTCAAGATGTGCAAAAATACTGGCACTTACAGTGAGTGTTTGCCATCTGAAAGAGCTTGCCACTGCAAACATGTATGCATGCATCCACACAGATCTCATATTCATTCTTTACTTTGCAGATGGGTATCAAACACAGAGGCTTTCAAAATGCTAATTCATTTGGGCTGCTATATTTGTTTGTTTCTACAACATGCTTTTTCATTGCTCCCTGGATGGGGGAGGATCCCAATCCTTTATTCCTCTGCAGCTACTAAGTGGACATTAATACAAAAATCAGGTCCCTATCCACAAAGAAATGCCCCAGAAGAACAGCAAGTACAGTAAATTCTAGTCATAGGCTTCATACCCTTTCAAACTATTTATCCAAACAATCCTTTCTAGCCTGTGATATGCATGGTCTTCCAGATAATATGATAAATAATATGATAAATAAACGTGGGTACTAGCTAATGTAGGAATGATTAGTCTCCAAAAATGGCGAAGGAAGGGACTCTGTCATTTAAAGAAAGGGTAGCAAACGATGCAAAACACAGGTGGCAGGAATGCAGAGAAGAGCTGGCAGGAACTAATGAGATGAGTGATCAGCATTTTATTCAGACAGTGTTTCAGCGTCCACCCAGAGGAGATTAAGTATCTGTCCTCTCAGTGCAGAGAAGGAGAAATAAATCAGGTTTTACCACAAGTAGGGTGGCAGGGAGTTAATTAGAAATGGTGGGGGGGATGGGATATTTCAGTTTGCAAAGGGATAAGAAAATGTACAAATGAAAAAACTAAAACACACTGAAAACACATTGGAACACACCTGGGAAACAAGTGACTGAGGATCCTGCGTGAGGAAGCTGCAGCCACAGGGGACTGCACACAACAGGTGATTCAGACAGCTCAGCTGAAAGCTGCAATCCAGTGCCAAATGCTGTTCATCTGAGTTGTTACATGAAAGCAGACATTTCTCATACCCTGCCTCACATCAGGGTCTTTCCATCAACAAAGCATGTAAAAAAGGCAAAGTTGCAGAAGAAAATGAAAGGATCTTAGTTTTCCGAGTAGTTTTTTAAAAAACCACAACCCTCATTAAAGTCAATAAGAATTGCTCTACGTCTCCTGTAATTTGCCTCCCAGGATCTGTGCAAAACTAGAATATGCCAGATTCTGCTATTAAAATGAGCAGAACTGCATGAGAAGATTAGCAGAAGCCACAAAAAGCAGAATGGTGGTGAAGCTACCTTATTGCCCATGTTCAGTGATTTCCATTAATGATTTAACAGTAAAGTTCAATTAAATGAGTAGTAGATACTGACACAGCCCAGCAATGGATCTGCTCTGTGCTGGTGGAGCACATGCATATGGATATGTTAAAGCAAGAGAACCTTTCAAAGGCAATGCACCATTTTTCTTCCCTGTCCTAAGCTGAGGTTAATTGTGCCTGGGGCGGGTACGTTGCTAGTCCTAATGAAGATCAATTCCAAGCTGAGAGTCGAGTCCCTGCTTCAGCCAGCTGACTGATAATACCGTGTTTCTGGGAGGGATAAAGGCTTCTGTTGTCTACTGGGTTTAAACTGTGGGTACAAGTAGGGTTAGGGGTGTATTGCCTTGCAGGAAGCAAAGTCCTGTGAGCTGATGGGTAACATATTACCTCTGCGGAAAAAGGTCCTGCTGCATGCCATTCCCAATCTGCTGATGTACCCTTTCTGCCAAGAATGCCACAGGCTGCAGGTCACTGCTCAAGAGAAAAGGCTTGTGTGGAAATGAATGCATGAATATGTCTTCTGGCTGAAATATTTAATCAATGTTTAGGTGACTTTCTGCCACCAGTGAATATTAAATTCCTCATTTTGAGGAAAAGCTGGGAGTCACATTTCAGCAACATATTCAGAGCATCACTACATTCAGATAGCGTCAGATGATGCAAGAGGCTGTGGTCAATCCCCATTGCAGTAATTTAGGTGAGTGCAGAAGAAGGAGTGCTGCTTTTTGACTGTCTCCATGTTTGTTATTTATACACCGTGTCATTTTGAGCCTGTTGTTCGCTTGTAGCTTTGGGCTGACAGTTCCCTGATTCCAAAGGCAATTCAGCCCCTGACATAAAGCAGAAGAACAATGCACAGTTCCTGTAAAACAACAGTGCTCCCCCCGCTGCTGTCAGAATGCAGGGATTAGATGCAGAATAATGCAGTCCCTGATCAAACTTGCAGCTGTAATTCAACCTCTGGACAGTGCTGATGCCATAAATTTGTGAAGAAAGTGCAGCTCAAGCGGTTTGTGAACAAGAGCTGGTAAGTCCAATTGAATTACAGTTGTGGGAGCAGCCGAGATCCCCCTGCACCGAATCATTACTAATGAGAGCCAGAGAATGATTGCTTATGATTTTAATGAAATTGAATTTTAATTTATAACCTTGGCTGGAAGAGGAGGAGGAAGAAACATACAATGAATATTTGTGGGTGACAGGGCAAGAGTACAACCAGAAACCCAAAATAAATGGAAGGAGAATGTATTCTCCTAGAAGAGGCAAGATAAAATGTTATCTTCAAAAATATACTGAAGTTTTAGCAAAGAGTTGTGATACCATGAGCGCTGAAGAAAGTGACTCTGTATCACAGTTCTGATGATGAGAGAGCTCAAAGAAAATGCTCAAATATGTTTTCTTCAATCCATTTAGGCTACTCAGAAGAAGGGGAACAGCTCAGCTGAATCTGAAGCCATCACAGCCCATTGTTTTTGGCATGAAATCAGCAGAATGGTAACTACAAGCACCACTGACATATTATAATCAAATAATCACATGGAGCCCTTTCTGAGCAAGTCTTCCAGTTTCAGCACTGAGTGGTTATTCACTATTGAAATGAAAAGCATAATTAACACTAAATACTCTTTTAAATAGAATAATGTTCCTTGCTGTTTCCCTTGCTATTTTAATATCCATCTTAATATTGCACTGTTTCTACTGGGACAAGAGTAAGGCATAGGGAGGTTAAAAAAGTCATTTATAAAGTTCATCTCAGATATGGAAATGTGAGGAAAGAAATGGGGAAAACAGAGAACTTGAGTAAGGAACACAAAATGGATGAGCAAGAGAGTACTCACAGCATAGACTGCACAAGTTTTGCAACTTGTAATATGAATCTGCCATTC